TTGCATTAGCAGTCTCTGCATGGTCCTTTTGGATAGGAATGTAATAATTCATTCGTTTGACGTTTCCTGCAGCACCGTTAGTATACATCTTCTTAACAGTCTAACTTGTCTGTTCGATCCTTGTGTCACAGAACAAAATGATGCACTGGTCATGTAAGAGCCGTTTTTTCTAATATAGACAATCCCCCACTATCGCATACCTTTGTTCTTACAATGATGCAAAATACGCAACATTGCAGTTTCCCCCTCCTATTCTTCATCTATGACGCAGAACGAGAAGCTGAGATAACAATATGTAACAAAAACGCTATATGTGACAATTATTATTATTACTAATGAGCTCATACACTGCGCTGTGCTGTGCAACAAGATTTTGCAAACGTATGCATGTTATACATCAAGGACAATATATTATATAATAAAGCGGTAAAAACGGTAAAATAGAACGGTAAAGAAACGGTAAAGAACGGTAAAAAACGGTAAAAACGGTAACGAAACGGTATGAAATGGTAAAAACGGTAACGTAAACGGTAAAACGGTAAAGAAACGATAACGTAAACGGTAAAAAAACGGTAAAAACGGTAAAGAATGGTAAGAAACGGTAATGAAACTGTAAAGAAACGGTAAAGAAACGGTAAAGAACGTTAAAAAAAAACGGTAATGAAACGGTAAAAAAAAAACGGTAAAGATACGGTAAAGAACGGTAAAGAAACGGTAATGAAACGGTAATATGCTGATACATCAATGTGAGGATGCGGTTGACTGCATGTGCGACATATGATGTTACTATTACGTTAGGCTGATTTTGCACATTTGCCACCCTCTCCTAACGAGACATATTTGTTACAAAGAGATAGCGATGGACCATATAAAAGTCACCCAGGAGTCACCAGCAAACAGTCCATGTCCACATCAACAAGGGAGAAAAATACAATGAAAATGTTGTACAATACGAAATTTCGTAGACCCGTATATGGAGAGGAGGAAGAGGTTTTTTTACAACAAAGCCCCCCACGTAAGTTTTTAATAGATTGTATAATAATCCAGGTTTTCAAATTTTTAAATAATAATTAATCCAATTTTAGATATCGAAGAATGGGAAGAGGAGATGGAGGAGGAGATGGAGGAGGAGGTGGGGGAGGAGGATGAAAATGCGGAGGAGGATAATGGTAAGAAAGCACAAATAATTTCACATAAATTTTTTTTAATTTTTTCTGTATATAAAAGCATAAAATTAATTTTATATTTGATTTCAGAACATATAGAAGTAATCGATCTTAGCAGTGAAGAGGAGGAAGTAGAAATAGACGTTGAAATCATTAATTTATATTTACATATTTATTATTATTATTATTATATTATATTATATTATATTATATTATATTATTATTATTATAATATATATATTACATTATATATTACATTATATATTATTATATTAAATAAATAAAATTATTTTACATATCAAAGATTAAACAATTCTTTCTGGCGCTGACCCAACCACCAATTAAATATTTTCAATACATTTTGTAACGCGCAGTGTTTTGAATGATTATTACACCGTAAAATGTTGGTTTCATCCAGTTTGTCCAATGACGCCATATCCTCGTAATCTGCATCCAGAGTCTCAACGATCACCTTTTCCCTCACATCAGCATTGAGGAGATTCGTCAACCACTCTCGCTTCTCGTATCCCTTGACATAGACGAGTTTGGATTCTTCGCTGGTTTTGCTGATCACAGTGTCCGTGATCAAACGTTTCGCCTTGTTGTACGGGACGATTCCATCCTTCCAATGCAGACCATGATGATTAGCCGTCAACCATGCTGCTTTCGATTTGTCAGCTCTCCTGAGAAGATGCCACGGCATAGGACTCGCAAAGACATAATGGGAGAGAACAGTTCCATTTCCAAGTATTGCTATCTCTTTTACGTGAAATCTCATTCCAACCGTAAATCCTTGCAGGTCCACAAATGTAGGCATGTTCATTTTTTATGTTATTTTGCGCACAATGTTGGTCAGAGGACTGTATTCCACAATGCGGTCGTGCAGAATGAGGCAGTAAGCTGTGGTATCCATCGGTATATTCTCCTTGCAGTGGAATTCAATTCTCAAATCGACAGTGGCGCTCTTGATGAATTCGTTTTGTCGCGAGCAATCAATGACCACACACGGACAATGAGTGAGAAATTGTATGGGATCGAACAACACATTGCCGTTGTCACATCCGTAATATGATTTGCGGAAACGTGCATACATATCGTACAGAACGGCGTATCTCTGTTTATCGAAATCCATATTCATATCGTCGTACGGATAAAATTCCGAGTTGAGATAGAGTTTCACGTTAGTCAGCTTACAGTGGTCGAATATGGCAACATTGCCAGTGAGAGAATTCTTTCGACAAGTCCTCCACTTCACTGCTAAGATCGATTACTTCTATATGTTCTGAAATCAAATTTGAAGATTAATTTTAATTGTTTTATATACAGAAAATTAAAAATTTTTATGTGAAATTATTTGTGCTCTCTTACCATTATCCTCCTCCTCCCTCTCATT